ATAGTTGAAACTGACAACTTCTTCAAATTGACAATCAGTCAGAAACGCGGTTCGAAAGCATGTGAGACCCCCCATTTTGGACAGTAAAGTGGCAGATTTAGCAACTCAAATTCATCCGCAATACGGCATGCTATAGGTTGGAGCTTGGTATTGTCGTAATCTAGGTCAATAAAGAGCCTCTACACCCTTAAAACTGTCCAGATAACATATTCAGACAGTCCGACGACGTAACTAAACAGAAGAGACAGAAGAACGCAACCCTGTCACACAACGGACCACATATTTAACAGTGATTTTAATAGACCATAACTGGACCAGTGATAGAGAAAAAAGGCCTTGACCACGGCGATGCTTTTGTCAGCAGATGTTCTAACTCCGATATCCGAAACAGGAACGCAATGTGAACGGAATCTAACTAGGCATCGAAGTCAACAAAGCAGACGGCGGTCGGCTGCTGGCAGTCGTAGAGTGATTTAAGAATGAGCCGCGGTGCGAATACTTAGTCGGTGCATTCATGCCCAGTTCTGGACCCAGTCTTGTGGGATTTTGCCCCCCGCAGATCACGCACATTTTGAAACCACCGGAAAAATGACAATGGTGGAGACTCCAGCGTCAATTTCGTTGTAGTTCTCACACACGTTGTCTTACATCCCCTTTTTGAAGATAGACAGGGTGGTCCGAGTCTCAGTCATCGGGATCGAGCTCACCTCAGTATGTTATCGCCAAATTTAGGTATGAAAACCTTCCTTCTTGGGCGTCTTGTTGCTACTCGGCCACATGAATGCGTCAGTTATTTCCTTCTGGGACGGAGTGGCACATGACAGCCGGCAGAAGCCGGAGGGGGGAGGGTGGGGACCGATCTTTGTAGTTAAGACGGTAACCGAAAACGCATGCAACTGTGCAACCTCGGCCAAAATGTCAACACTAAAACCCACATCAAGGTCTTGGACTGCATTATCCAGTGCCAAAGGAAAACCACGGCAAAGTGCAACGAGTGCCATTCCAACGCCTCGCTGGCGGTCAATAAATCCGACAGGCCAGTTGATCCAGTTGCGAAAAATGCGTGGCCTCAGAGGGATTCGAATCCACGCCAGCAGTAGGTTGGGCGGGTAAATCGACCCAAATGTGATTAAATTAACGGCTCACGGTGAGCCTCGTAGTTCAATGGTAGAGCGTTGACTGCGCAAAAGCCTTCTCTGCTGACGTGGATTCGAATCCCACTGAGGCAACAAATTTTTCAAAATCCGGTCAACTGAATTATTCAAATCCGCCAACCCTCCCCCCCTTCCCTCCTAACAACTAAGTGAGCCTAGTAGTCATTCTGGTAGATTTTAGATGACTGTTTATGAAATCCTGTCTGGGCAGTCAGCTTGCTGTTCCGTAATGGTGGATTCCATACGAGCAGTAAGTTGGACGGCTCACGGTGAGGCGTGATAAAAAACATGAGCGAGACTTCAAACCAGCGTTCCTGCAGTTGAACAGCGCGCTATGGCTGAAAATGGTAGGTCCGTTGTGGCTGCTAAAGCCATAGGGAGACGCCGATAATTACGGACTTCGGACCCAGTTCTGAATACAAACGGGATATTGTATTCCGAACAGAACCCAACGGTGCTGCATAGCAGTCCCTCACACTGTGGTTTCAAAGGATGCACAGCAAACAGAATTACACAGCCCCTTAGAAAATTGTT